CATAGGGTCGCTATGAGTCGCAGTCGACTCAACGGCACATAACAACAACAAACAACAGCATATCTATCCATCTACCTCCCTACCTATCAATCTGTCAATATATCTATATCTCGCTTTGGGGGATCTAGTTAATAATGTACCAGGACTGAGTATGAGTAAATTCAAAGGACTTTTGTTTGAAAATACTTTTTAGCATTTTTAACAGGGTTTCCAGAACTCAAGTCAGTGCATATGGACTTGACGTGGTAGCAATACGAGCAATATCAGAAAACCATTAGATTAGTCAGACAATTAAAATAAACTTTTATCTGTTCTTATTCCATATTGTTAATTGTTGTGAGCATAGTTTCTTTGATGATCTTAAGCATAGCAGAATATAATAATGCTCCAACTCCATGATTATTTAAGTGTGTTTCCATGAATATTGTATAGTATCTACCAATCTAGGGGACACATCATATTACATAATGTCAGGCAATATCCTATTGTGATCCAGAAGCTTTTCATTGAATAATTTTCTTGATGTTTTTATGTTTTTGTTTTTGGTTTGTTTGTTTTTGTTTCTTTAAAAAAAGATATTATGTGTGTGTGTACTGTCAAATTGGATCTGACTGGTACAGGAGGAGATTACCTGTCCTTCTCCAGCAAAGCATCTGGTGGATTCAAACCTTGCACCTCTGTGATTGCAGTGTACCTTCTAGCCACTAAGTTACCAGAACTTGCCTGAATAAGTTTCAAAAGTAGATTCCCAGGCATTTCTTTTCATTGTGTAGAAGCTCCATTGTTATTTACAATACTGGTGGTGTAATGTTCAGTGTCATCAAATTAAGAATTCAGATTCACTGTTGTTGAGTCAGAACGACCTCACTGGTGACTCTCCGTTGGGTTTTGATACTGTAAACACACTGGGAGATCCTGCCCATTATTCTTCCATAGAATTGTTGGATCCTAAACACCAGACGGGCTTGACTTTCGGGTTAGTAACATGCAAATCACTACAGTATAAAAAACTAACACTAACTGATGATTCTGATATTAATGGCTTATTTCAGAATGAACAAGTTTTTCAGAAAGTTTACTCTCCTCATAATTTCAGGTATCTTTCTTTGAAATATTGCTATGAAGAGAGTTAATAAAATAATATTTGTGGGAGAGGGAAAAAATAACACAGAAAGCAGGTAACAAAATAAGTGTTTTTGTATATAGTATAAAAAAGTTAGATTTTTTTCTTTAGTAAAAGAGACTTAGAGCACAAGAATGACTGAATCAGTCTTTTGTTTACTAATTCTGTAACCTCAGAAAATTGTTTATGCTTTAACTTCTTCATAGTAATAATATGAGAGATTATAGTAGGATCCCTTGTCAAGGATCATCATAGACATAGTAACTCATTCATAAAATATTTTAGGGCAATGACTGAATCACTTTCTACTAATTATGCCAAATTGTTTTTTGCTTTTAACAATAATTAACAGGAATTAACT